GCCCCCTTTGTGAGGAAGTTGTAGACTGCCATGAGGTCACCCCTCAGCCTTCTCTTCTCCAAGGTGAATGAGGTAAGTGACCTCAGCTGATCCTTGTAAGTCTTGCTCTTGAGACCTTTCACCATCTTGGTTGCCCCCCTCTGCACACACTGTAGTAGTCTGATGTCCTTCTCATACTGAGGCACCCAAAACTGCCCACAGTACTCAAGGTGGGGCCGCACCAGTGCAGTGTAGAGTGGGACAATCACCTCCCTCAACATGTTTCTTAATACAGCCTGTTCTGTGATTACCATATCATTTGTACCCTGGTATTGAACAGTGAAACTGTTTTTTTCTTGGCCATGTTTCTAATGCTTATCCAGTACCAGGTACTCTAATCCACCCAACTTTTAAAAAAGCCTTTAACACTTGTGAACAAGCTTGTCTAATTCCCTACCTTTACATAGTCTATTACTGTCACATCAAAGACAGGCTGTGAGATCAGCTAGACCCTCTGCTCTGCCTATATAGTCAAGCTATATTTTTGAGGGAACAGCAAAACTGTAACTAGAACTTCATGCTTTACATACTGGTGAATTCAGAGTGTGATTACATGGCTGTTTAAACTGACTTTTTTAAAGCCCAGCTGTCATCTTACCTTGCTTCATTAACACCAGCACTGGTGTCTTATTCCACCAGCTTGTCTGATCCCACTGAGCTGTTGACTTGTGGAAGGGGCTGAGGAGGTGAATTAATAATGTTCCTGGTTTTTGTCACTGAAGTGATTCATTGTGGGAGCTGAAAGTGCCAGCTGCAGGTGGTCTTGGGTGCCTGGCTTAAGCATGGGCTGCGGCAGTGTCCTCCACGTATTGGGGTGTACTGTTGTCTGCAGCTGTAAGCTAATAGGAAACTTAGAGTGCAGCGAGGAGGAAATGAGTAAAAAATGTACATATAACATTGGCTGTACTGGAGAGCTCTTGCTATGCTTTTGAAGAGCTTGCATTCTTGCTGCAGCATTAGTGGCTTGCTGTGATATGCTCATTCCCACCTTTTGCTTCTTTTGTGTAGCTTTCACTTAATATAGCCATATACATAAACATGCACACACACACAAGCAGTATATGCTGCCAGTGTGATAGTTGCAATGTAAAAGTAGGGACTTGCCCTGAAAGCTGGTTGAAGTACATCTGCCAGGCTGTGTGTTTCTGTGTTTGACTAATGGGAGAACAAATGGCAGTTACTCACTGCAGAGGTTACTATAATTCTGTCAGCTGAGATCTTTCAGTAAACTTAAACTGGATGTATAGCTGTCTCTTCCCTAAATTTAGCCAAAAGGGAAATTCATCTCAATTCCAGAGAGTGTTTCTAATGTAGGGCCTTTTTACATAGATAATCTTGGCAAAGAAAACAAACATTTTGGAAGAGTTCCTGAAGAGTTACTTAATGTTAATATTAGCTTTATTCTTTGAGAGGGAGGAGAAGGCAAGTGGCTTGGGGCGGGGGGGGGGGGGTTGGGGTTTTTTTGTTTGGGGTTTTTTTTCTGATATAGGGGATTTCAGTGAGGACCATATCCTTTTTCTGACAGAGATCAGTTTGGAAGACAGAGTTGTGGTTTTTTATCATAGGGGACAAAAAGTTAATTTTACATGAGATTTTCTTGGTCTTTTGTCATTTTTTATAGATGGTAAAGTCTGTAGTCTGAACTGAAGTTCTGTTTTACTGCATACATTGTTGATCACAGAAAATTTTGAATCTATAATTGCCATTTTTCATAGGGTTTATAATGAAATAACAGGCTGCAAGGTTCAATACACTGAAATTTTTAGGGCTCACAGTTTGGAATGCCAGACCTCAGTACTAATGCTGTTCAACCTGGCCCTGTAGATCTTTCTGTAGACAGTCATCCTGTTCCTAAACATAAGTCTGTAATACTGATCCTGTTAATGGTCTAAATACTTGCCTAGAAACTGAGATACCTCAGAAGTCCATACACTTTTTTAAAATGTCAGCTTTCTAAGAATGTCTGTGTATAATGATGAATATATAAATACTTATAAACTGGAAAGTTTCTGAATTTTAAAAAGAAAATTTATGCAGTGGTTGCACCTCAGTTTATTTTAGTGAGTCAGACTTCTATGCTTCAGGGAGAAAATGGCAGCTTGCAACCCTAGGAGAGAGAATCCTTGGCAGAATTTTTTGTTTCTTTGCTTTTAATTTCAAGGTAGGGCAAACCCTGATCCTCCTGACTATATTTCTCTTCCACATGGATATGCATCTTTTTGTCTTATGAGTGTAAACAAAACTACTTCGTGTCAATAAAACACCTGCTTAAACTCTATAATTAATGGGTAACCTTATGTCTCATTGGTATTTTCTATGAAGTTTGTAGGTTTAAAACATTGCATTGAGTTTAATTTAAAGGAGAACAATCTTATTTAACCACTGGTTTGACTTAATCTGTGAGAGGAAATGATGGGGACATGCATTTTCTCTACCTGTTGCCAGGTTTATGGTATGCACCTGTGGCTACAGAATTTCCTTGTTGCTGATTGTTCTTTGTTAGCTTCTGCCTTCTCTTGCTTTCAGCTGGGCTGAATTCAACCAAAAACTTGGTCAAGTTGAGGTTAAAAAGTATTTGTAAGGCTAAAGGAAATCATTTATTGTGATTCACAATAGCTAATTGCTGTTGACATTACCATGATTACAAGAAGGACACCATTGTTTTTGCCCAGCTGATTTTTGAGAGTTCTGGCTGCTGACAGGCTCTGGTTTAGGTGTCTGAGAAATGGAAATGAGGAATTGGGGAGAAAATTTGTTACATGCCCTGTGTGGAATCTTACTTCACAAAATGTTTGGATACATAAGTAACTTTTAAAGATTTTTTTTTTTTTTTTTTTTTTAATATGTGAACCTATGGTCAAGGAAGGAGAACAACTTTATTGCCTTCTTCTTCCTCCACCTTTGGATTCTAGCAGCAGTGTTGAAAGGTAATGCTCAACTTACGGGCTGATAAAAGTAATCTTTATTACCTAGTTATGTCCCTTAATATTGTCTAGGCTACCACATGATCTTTTGAGCAAGGTTGTCTACAACAAGATTCATCTGGAGTGGTGTTTAAATATTTTTTTTTTAAATTGAAATCCTGTCTTGAAGAAGCTGTAGGCAGTAAATACCATCTTGACTTGGAAAGGTAAAATGTGGAGTATGCATACCTACATCCTAGATTTCCCAATTTTGCACTTCTCATTCCTCCTTTAATGTAATGTGCATGAGGCATGTGATGGGTCAGTCTCTCCCCATCCCCAGTATCAGAGGATGTTTTGGTCTTGTGAAGAGGCAAGGGTGACCACACAGGGCATCTACAAAACCAAGTGTGACTTCATGCATGGGAACCTGTGGAAATAGAGAGAGATGTTTCCTTGCAGGTACAGAGCTCTGCAACTTCTCTCCAGCTTTGCAGGGTTTGTCAGACAGGAGGTAAGCTCTCTCTGGCATTTAGGGTTTTGAAACAATAGATAAATGAATAGGTATGCTAGGAAGCAGTAAAATCCAGGCGCAGCAGCACTGGAGTAGAAGACAGGAGCTAGCTGAGTTTCTCAGATGGAAGGCATAATCTTTACATGTCTGGTAACTGCTCTGTGATGGCTGATTTATCTGTGGTGTCTGGAAATGATCTGTTTGTAGTTAAAAGTCTTAAAATTAAGAAAGGTCGCTAGACCCTTGTTATAGCAAAAATGCTGCTTGCTTACCAGCCATCCAGTTTACTGTACTCCATATAAAGCAGAAGCTTGAAGTTAGAAGTTGAAGTTAGAGCCGTACCGCTTTCACATTAAAACCTCATTTCTTACAGTGTATCTTTGTGGTGGGTTAGTCTTGGTTAAGGGCTGAACTCCCACCCAGACGCTTGGTCACTCACTCTGCCTACTCAACAGGGCAGGGGGAGAAGATAGGATGAGAAGGCTCAGGGGTCAGGATAAAGACAGGAAGATTGCTTACCAGTTAACGTCATGGGAAAAACAGACTCAACTTGGGGAAAATTAATTTAATTTGTTGCAAATTAAAATAGATTTGGGTAAAGAGAAAAAAAAAACAAAACAACATCAACCCTAGACACCACCTTCCCATGCTCAACTTCAGTCCTTCATTCAGGACTTATCTCTGCCACCTCCCTGAGTGGCACAGGGGGATGGGGAATGGGGTTTGCAGTCAATCCATAACAGCTCCTCGCTGCCACTCCTCCCTCCTCACACTTTCCCCCACTCCAGCATGGGGCCTCTCCGTGGGCTGCAGGGAAATTCCTTTTACAGCGCCTGGAGCACCTCTTCCCCTCCGTCTTTGACCTTGGTGTTCACACTGCAGTTCTCACAATTTTTTTTTCCCTCACCTCCTCTGCCTGTGCAGTGTTTTGTCCTTTCTGAAACCTGTTCTTTGTGAGGTGGCACCATCTTGCCTGAGGGGCTCAGACATGTCCTGCGGTGGGTCCATTGGAGCTGGCTGGATCCAGCTGTGTCCGACACGGGGGAGGAGTCCCTGGCCCTTCCTCACAGAGGCCACCCCTGCCACCCAAACCTTGCCACCTGTACCCATTATAGTTTTCCTTCAGTTCACTTTAGTTGAAAGCAAAGACTGCTGCATATACATATTTATGGAATGTCAGCTGCCTGCAGAGCCTTCTCTGCCGGTGGGATGAACTTTCAAGTGTACTAGACATTGTTGAGGACAAGAGAAAGAGGGCTAAGGACTCAGGTGCCATAGTGTGTAAGCAGCCATAATAGAACAAGTTATGCCATTTTCTGAGGGGCTTGCATTGTGTTTGCATGGAAACTGAAAGATGTGATTTACTCATTAAATAGAGGATGACAGTGTGGTTTAATTAACCTATCCCCCATTGAGAAGAAACATGGATACTATTTGTTGGAGAAGTCTTATTCTACCAATGTGATTTGCAGTTCTTAGATAGGTGAGACTCTCTCTGTCTCTGTTGGTAATGTTTGACTGACATGCTTTCTCTCTTATAACAGATCATGGTAATGTCGGATGGCACATCGTTCTCTTCAGGACAGAGCCTTCATCTACCCAGCCTTCCCAGTAACTCCCTGTCTTTTTCTGAAGTGAAGAAGAAATCATCTCATGGGCCAAAGGTGAGACTTGTTTTGCTAGAAGATACTTGAGCCAGTGATGCTTTTGCTGGGAAGTAACTTGAGAAAAAGTATTTCTAGGTATTTTTGCAATCTCATTATGTAGTCCAGTGGTAATACATCTTGACATTTCTTCGTTGTGAACTTACTGTTTGCCACATGAAAATAATGCAGAACAAGGATGGTTGTGAGAACAGGTGCCAATGAAGGTACTGCTTTTCTGGATTTTGTACATGCACAGTTGTTTTCCTCCTTTCCCAGGAGGAATTCTAATGGTCTGTTGTAGTATTAGGGGGTTGTGATGATGGAAGTGTGATCTACAGAAATATAAAGAACATGAGAAAATGCTATAAGAATTGTTTCCTTTATTAAGTATTTTCTAATACTTTTCATGATAATTGTGTAGAGTGAAACTTGAAGTAGTGTTCTTTAGGATTTTTAATTTTGTTTAAATTTCAGGGGTTAATTCTTTACTAGGTGTTTCAAAACCAGCAATGTGTCATCAGTCTCTAGGACATCAAATTGAATCCCCAAACTAGAACGCAGTGAACTAGAACACATAGTCCAATGAACCTTTTGAGTAATATAAATGGACCTTTCTGAAATGGCAGATAATTTCTTCAGTTTGACAAAATGAATGAATGGTGTGGAAGAATAAAGAGCATCTTATTATGTATTCAAATAAGAAATGCAACACAATTACTTATGTCGTAAATTAATTAACGTATATGCCTTGTGTCCGTTCTGTTAAATTGTTTGGGGTTTGATTTTCTTTCTTAGCTTCTTGTTAATTTGAAAAGTGTTACTTAATCTTGCAGTGCACATACCGCAAGGGGCAACACTCCTTTTTATCAATAACTTTCATGTTCTGTAGCTGTACCAAATCTTGTAAGAACTTTCAGGTAATGAATTATGGGTATGCCTAAGTGTGTCCATTGATAAGAATGTGTCACAACAGTAAGGATATAGGGGAGGGTGGGGGGGAAAGGGGGGAGTTCTTTGACATGTTTCTGCCTGGTTTGCATTGCACCTGAGTGCCTCACTATCTCTAATGCAGGTCTTCCTGTGACATTTAAAGGATACATGGATGTGTGATTATTTTTGTTTTCTTAATGAGGAGCTGAGGTAGATTGAATCTGAGGATTAGACTGAAGGTTCTTACTCTGACATGCTAAAATGACTGCTTATTGCCTAAAATGGAAAGCAACTGGCTATACCAGGTGCTCAAGCAAGGTGCTGAAGATAACTGACTGCTTAGACTAGGATGTATCTCCATCTACTTGGATACTAGAAGATGAATTACTTCGACACTTTACCATCTATAAGAGGGGTTCTTGTGAGGTTGAGTAGCTCTCTAGAGTTCAGTTTCCAATCACCCATGTCTTGCATTGCTCGCCAACGTAGGCATACTGAGGCTTGGCCTATAAATAAGCAACCCAAACACCTGCAAAAGGACTTCAGGGAGGTACAGATATGATACCAAGTCCTACACTAATGCTCCATCTAGTAACTGTACACCATGGTAAGTCTTGAATCTCCAGTGTAAATTTTTTCATAAGCAAGTGCTAATCTGGGATGTCATTTTCTGAACTATATTCGGACAATGAACTTTTGTCTGTTGTAGAAACCTGACAAGTGTGGAGTGTGGTTGGGGTGAAGCAGGGTGAAGGGAGTGTTGCATGTTTGCTGCACTCATAAATCTTTCGAAATCTTTCATTTTTGCTGAAGCAACCCAACAATGTGCAGCCAGTTTGACCCACAGCAGGAAGTTACAGGAGTCAGTAGGAGGTTAGATGTGCATCACATCTCAGGATTGTATTCAATATCTGTAAAATTGTTACCCAGGAATGTTTTTTAACTATTCGGTTTCGAAATAGGGATGATGAGCAACAATGCTGTGTATTTGAAATAATTAATTTTTCAGCCTTGTATGCTGTTCACTGGAGTTTTTAGTAGTGGGAAGAGATGTTATATCAATACAGTGTTTCTTGACAGTTGGTGTGAATATTCGGTTTTTCCTTTCCCTGCCAGCAATCTTTGTCTGTTCCTGTCCAACTTAAAAAAACAACACTAATGAGCAACTGTTCTTGTATATCATAAAGAAAGAGTTGTAAATACCTGCCTTACTGAGAATCATCAGCTGATTTTGAGAAATGGAAACACAAAGTAACCTTGGGTTTGGTATAGCAAAAAAGTTTGATTTTGTTGTTATAAATCCTGGGAGCTGAGAACCATTGGAATTTTGTCTTAAGGGGTTTTGTTTTGGTTGGGGTGCAGGAGTATTCCAGCCAACGTGTAAATAGATTTTTGGTTTTGTCATTTGGAATAATCCCAGTGATGGCACAACTTTGGTGTCCAAATTTCATTTCAATATGCCTCTAGAATAGGAGCTGTAGAAAGGTATTGGTAGTTCTTGCGTGTAAGTTGTCTGTACCAAAACTGTGGGTGCATGTACTCCAGGTGTCTGTCCCGGATGATTTGGGGATTTTTCTGCTGCAGCAATAGCCCTTTGATGTGCTTAGCTTGGTTTTGGTTTGTTTTGTGTCTGTGAATACCAAAGTCAACTCTGAGGTCAGTTTTAAACTCTGAGTATGGAAAACGAGAACTTAAGAATATTTGCTTACCCATTTGCCATTACAAAGCACCACACAGACTTTCTGGTTAGAGGAGAATTGCACTCAAGACAGTAAAACTAGTGCAATGAAGTGGTATTGTTGGTTTAGCATTCACTTATAAAAAAATACAATGCAGTATGAAGAGAGAACTGTCACTTTGCTTTCTGTCACATCCTCTTCTGAAATATGTATTAAAAACCATACATGTTTGTATTTCTGAAGTTCCATGATTTTGTGTTTAATTTAATGGAGATGGTATTAATGAGCCCCAGTGTTATGATTCTAAAACAAAGCTTTAGTCTTGGAAATGCAGAGGACAGGCAGAAATGCATGAAACCTTACTTTATGCATTTTTTCAGAATGTAAAAATATCTGCAGGCTACCTGCAGATGTTGTGTTGCTTTTAAATCAGTTGTATTACTGTGCCTGTTTGTATTACGTAAATACAACATGTACAGAATACAGAGAAACAGCTTGATTAGTTTTGTTGAGGTGATTATGTCTTTTGGAATGAGCTGTAGTGTCAGCTGCAGTGAAATGAGGTTTACTTTATAAACAAAAACCCAAAAGCTCTTATTCCCGTGTGTGACCAGAAAAAAGAAAAATTATTTTATGCTCCCTCTTTTGGCTTTTTCTGTCAAACAAGTGAGCCTTGTAATTCTCCATCTGCTTCTAATTCTCCTGATGTCATTGGTTATAATAGTTTGGGGGGCTGGACAAGCTGAAGTGTGGAAAGCCTTGTAAACATGAAATATAGTAATAATCTGTGAGAAGAACTAGTAGCAGGTAAATTCATCTCCAGCATGCAGCTAGCAAGTGGAATAATACCATAGTATTTGTGGAGGTTTTCAAAATATTGTGTGTGGGGCGCTTCCCAAATCAGTTAGTGTTTCAATAATAAACACATTTGTATTCAACAGAAATCTGAATTTCCTTGAGGAAGTAATTCCTTTTTAGCTATCTTCCTCCTCTTTTAAGAGCAGGAGGCATATTTGAGACTAATTCCAGTCTATTGGCTCAAGATGGACACATTATTTCAATAGGCATAACATTTGAAGAAATGCTTTTTTTATTACAAATTAAAATAATGCATGTTTTTATGATCACTAATACTAAATTTGTAGACTAAACCGAGACTACAGTAGACTGGCATGGTCATGCCAGTGTGCTCAGTTTAATGACTTCATAAAATTTAATGAACCTCTCATCACTCCCCACAACTGCTTCATTTGCTAATTAGGTTCCTAATGTCTGTCAGCAACTGGAGTTGTTTGAAATGATTTCCAGAGGATACTGCTTATTCAAACTCATGTTCAACAAAAGTGGGAATTCCTTTTTGTGGTGTGAAGTCAGAATCCAACCCTGCAAAATATACAGGGCGTTCAACACCATTTTTTGCCTTGTAGTTACAGAAGTGTTTTAACCTGCAAATGTGTTACCTGTTGAGGAGCTGTCATGGTCCATTTGGATCTCTCAAATTCACAGGACACTGTACTCTGTGATTTAAACTTTATTGCATGAGCCATTAAGAAATACAACAAACAAACATGACAGACAGGGCTCAGTCCCCTTTGCCCAGACTAGTCTATCACATGAATTCACTTATTCACCACTCAAGTCATAAGGTATCATAATTTATAACATGTTACTCTTAATCCATGCTCTTAGGAACAAAAACAACAAAAAAATTAGTTACCTACCTGACAGTGAGAGTGCTCATCCTTCTTTCTCCGTCACAGTGGGGGTGTCCCCTGGATCAAACCAGGAGGCATGAAAGCTTCAGCAGTCCAGCTGCTGATGGATCTACTTCAAAAGCTTTTTTTGTATTGTAAGATGATGTTTTATACCTTCGGGCTTGGAGGTTTGGTTTATATAATTTCTGTAAGTTAGTAGATTCTGACAAAACTGCTAGGCAAAGATAATGGTTGCAGGAGACAGGAATTTGCAGGAGAACATGGCTGCATAATGGCCCTTTAGCTCTTTCTGGCCACCTGTCCTGCCTACGTGATGATCTTGCTGCTCCCAGCATACATCAAGGCCTTAGAATGAGCTGTGTTAACCAAAATCTGAGCAGTTGAATGCAACAGTCACAGTAGCCACATTTAATCCCCATCAGCCTTCCACATTCATCATTAGGTTTGATATAATTTTACCAGTGAATATATTTGGGTTTTTTTCTGTCTTACAGATTTTATGTTCCTCCTGCTATTTCCTCTAAGTCATTGTTGGCTTCTGTTAAGGTCATTGCAGAAACTGAGGAAATAAGAAAAGATACTTTTTTTACTTAGAGAATGAATGCAGATACAAAAGTAATGGGTTGGCTGTCTTAATGAAAGAGTAGCTCTCAAAGCATGGCAGGGTTGTGTAAATATGTCTATATCATAAGTATATCATATACTTTGCTTTCTATGAAAACTTCAGCTTCCATGTTGTAGAAAGAGGAAAGAAGTTTGGTTTTAAAATTGTAAAGACAAGAAAGATCTCAAGTTCCTATTGGTTTTAATACTACTGCGCCCCAGGACTTATTTCACAGTTCTTATCTGTTGGAAAACCACTAAAATGAGTCTCTCCTTTTGGAGCAATTTAAAATACCTGGTAAGGAGACCAGTAAGAAGCATAAGGACTCCATCTAGCTTATTAATGGCACATATTTTATTCTTCCCCAGGGCAACACTTACAGGTCTGGCATGATAGAACAAGATGTGAAGATAAAAGCATTAATACTTACTTCATATGGCAACCTTTGGGGCTGGTCTTGGATCAGACAAAATACAGAGCTTTTTTTAAATTATTATTATTTTAAAAAAATTTTAAAACAAAACAAAACACCAGGAAGGGAGTTTTGACTAAAGTAAAAGATCTCAAGGAATGATTCATACTTTTTTATTTTTGTTTTTTAATTGCTGGCCTGGGAAATGAGGAAGTGCCTTATGTTCAGACATTCAAACGTCATCATAATATTGTTCATTGTTGATGCTTCTGCTTGTTGTTAATGTTGATGCATATATATTATATAGATATATAGTTAGATTTCCAAATGTGACTCAAAAATACATTTGCAGTGCTGATGCAAGAAACACCTGAACAAAAAGCACAATTGCATAATTTGTGCAGCACGGTGTGAAAATTCAGTGTTTCACTAATTAGTTAAGATAATGAGAAAGGAGAAACAGTTCAAAGTAATTATTTTTAATTAATTGTTTCCATTTCCACCTGTTGCTACAGAGGAGAAGGGAGATACTGCTCTTTTTGCGCATATGATATGTGCAAACCGTTCAGGTCCTGCAGCATTGAATACTGGCTTAACATGTCCTGATTGGACAATTCATAAGTAGTTACCTGCCAACAGAGAGCACACAAGTGGATGTATTCTCCATCTTTGTTTCTCCTCTTGTTGATACAATTTTCATTAAACAGGCTCATTCTGCTTTGTCTTGTTGGGTGGGGTTTTTTTCACAGCAGTTCTAACAATTGTATTTCTAAAATTACTCAGCCCCTGTGGAGGTTGAGGCTGGCCATGTCATGCTTTGGTCCTTCAGTTTCCAGCGCAGTGCTGCAGTCCTATCTGCATTGTGGATAAAATGGTGGTGGTGAAGTAAGGGGGAAGAAAAGCTCTGCAGTTCTATAAATCCATGGCAGTATTAGACAGCCAGACATACCGCATCTACATATGTACCAGAGGGTTGTTGTGCTTTAACTCCAGTGGGCAGCTGAGCCCCACGCAGCCACTCGCTCACTCCCCATCGGTGGGGTAGGGGAGAGAATCAGAAAGGTAAAAGTGAGAAAACTCACAGGTTGAGGTAAAGGCAATTCAATAGGGAAAGTGACAATTTAATAGGGAAGGCAAAAGCTGTGCACACAAGCAAAGCAAAACAAGGAATGCATTCACTGCTTCCCATCAGCTGGCAGATGTTCAGCTATCTCCAGGGAAGCAGGGCTCCATCATGAGTAATGGTTACTTGGTAAGACAAATACCCCAAGTCCAAATGTCCTCTCCTTCTTCCCCCAGCTTTTATTGCTCAGCATGACATTGTATGGTCTGGAATATCCCTTTGGTCAGTTGGGGTCAGCTGTCCTGGCTGTGTCCCCTCCCACCTTCTTGTACACCTCCAGCCTCCTTGCTGGTGGGGTGAGAAGCAGAAAAGCCTTTGGCTCTGTGTCAGCACTGCTCAGTAAAAAAAAAAACCAACCAACAAACAAACAGTTTCATTCAGTAATGAAAATATCTTGGCATTATCAACACTGTTTTCAGCACAAATCCAAAACATAGCCCCATACAAGCTACTGTAAAGAAAATTAACTTTGTCCCAGCCAAAACCAGTGCAAGGGTGTCATGGTTTAAGCCCAGCCAGTAACAAAGTACGACACAGCCACTCGCTCGCTCCCTGCTCCTGGCCACAGTGAGAAGAGGAGAAATTATAAAGAAAAGCTTGTGGGTCGAGACAAGGACCGGGAGGGATCACTCCCCACTTGTGGTCACAGGCAAAAAAACCAGACTAAACTTGGGGAAAAAAGCAAAATCAGTGTGTTAGCAGTCAAATCAAAACAGGATAATGAGAAATAAAACCAGACTTAAAACATTTTCGCCCCACCCCTCCTTCATTCCTGGCTCAACTCCACTCCGGGTTCTCTCTCCCTCTTCCCCCCAGCAGCGCAGGGGGACGGGGAATGGGGGTTGGGGTCAGTTCATCACACCTTGTCTCTGCTGCTCCTTCCTCCTCAGGGGGAGGACTCCTCACTCGTCCCCTGCTCCAGCATTGGGGTGCCTCCCATGGGAGACGGTTCTCCACGAACTGCTCCGGCGTGGGCTCCTCCAGGGGCTGCAGGTTGAGCCTCTGCTCCCCCGCTCCCCTCCGTGGGCTGGGGGACACAGCCTGCCGTCTCACCACGGGCTGCAGGGGCATCCCCTCCTCCCCTGCTCCTCCTCCCCTCCTTCCGCACTGACCTCGGTGTCTGCAGAGGGGTTCCTCTCACATTCCGATCCCCCTACTCACTGCAGGTTCCCCTTCTCAAACCTGTTCTCCCACAGGCGCTACCACCGTTGCTAATGGGCTCAGCCTTGGCCAGAAGCACGTCCGACTTGGAGCCAGGGAAGCTTCTAGCAGCTTCTCACAGGAGCCATCCCTCTAGCCCCCTCCCCTGCTACCAAAAAAAACCCCACACCACACAAACTCATAATAAAGAGTCGAAAAAGAAAAGTAGATTCTTAGCACTGTAGAATGGTAAGTGTGGATTGCTAGAAAATAAAACAGAGCTAGGATTTGTAGATGAATTTTAAACAGGTGAAAGCGTATCCAGTCTTACAGAGATGAGAGAATTTTGGGCACCACTTCGGTCTGCAGCTTGCAAAGGACTTGGATGAATAAGTAACCAAATTAATTGAAAGTCAAACCCTGAAGTGCATTTGTAGTATTTATACTAATTAGCACCCTTTTCAGTAGGTTCCCCTTTCCAATAATGCTTTCTTTGCATAGAAATTATATTGGAAGAATACTTTATTGTAAGTATTGTTCATTGTTTTCTCTTTCAACCTAAGAATTTCATTAAAACTGTGATTCTAGAACTGTGTATTGGGACACTCCTAATTAAACATATTCAAAGTTCTGACAAGTACTGTCAATCTTTTTGTCCTAAGGAGGAGTAACTAAAGCTATAAGATGTATAGTTGCCAGCAAGTAAGGTGTGAGCATGGGAATCTTTGGCGTACTGCAAGTATATAGTCTATATAATTTCCCTAAAGCTATTCCTGTTCTGCCAGTCATGAATTTGATCATTTGAGAGTTGGAGGGTGTGATACTGGCATAACATGTAGCACTTAGGGAATATCTTGCTTTGAAGAAGTGTTTCCAGGGTTCATGGGCTAACAATCTTGCAGTTTTTTAGCAGGAATAAAACTTTACATACTTTTATTTTTGAGGTTAGTATGGGTTCTTTTTTCTGTTATTTTAAGCTTGGTATTGTTAATGAAGTCCTATTCAGTATAAATCTCTATCTAGAGTTAGGATTTTTACAAATGTCACGATACATCAGGTTTCATGCCTAATTTTTTTTTTCCGGGGTTTTAGTATTTTCAGTTTTATACCAGTTAAACCTCCGTTCTGGGTAAAGGGAAAAGAAATCAGTGGGTATATGTAATATATTTGTCGAAGTGTTTCTTTCTAAGAGTTTCTCAGATGCTAGGCAATATATAGATAGAAATGCTTACAATCAGCTTGGAAGAAAGAAAGCAACCTAAACTTGTTCACTGTAGGTTTCTGTAAATTGAAATGTCACTTTGCAGATTTGAAGTAGTGTAAAAATGAAGTTTGTTTCTGGAGAGAGTGCTACAGGTGTTTAGTGTTTATAACACTGCAGTTAGACTACTGGGTATTTTTGAGATGCTGAATGCCCACTGCTTGCAGTTTCAGTGAAAGTGGGCAGTGCTGGAGCTATCTTCATCTTTTGAAAATTCCTGGGTGTTAATTCTCAGAAGAAAGGATCCCATATGACCTATTCCAGATAGTTCAGTTCCCTTATTGCTGGTTCTAGTTGCAGATCACCACCTTCCTTGCCATTTTGACTTTTCAGATTCAACTGAGTGAGGAATGATACTGTTCTGCTCTTTCTGCTTTTGCCTGTTCTATAGGACCTCTGAGTCATCACCACTGTCTCAGAAACCCATCTCACTTATAACAGTTGAATTTAAAAAAAATGCAATGAAATACTCAGCAGAGACAGCGGCAGTAAATACAAAGAAGAAAGCTTTTTTTACTAAAGGAGGTTTTCCAGAAAAAGACATTGACTGCTGAGATGCCATAGCCAGGCTGGACCCAGAGTTGTTACTGTGTATGAGGAAAAGGATCTGGCAAAAGCTGGAGAGAAGATCACAGCTGAGAAGTCAAACTTTGTCTGAAATGTCATCAGGATGCACATATTTTGCTCTCATCCTGAAGTAATTCTGTTGATAGCATATAGCTCATATCCTCATCTTTTCCTTATGATTTTTTTTCTTTCTTTCTTTTTTTTTTTTTTTTTCTGGTAGCTACTGGTCATGGTTAACATTTCCTAAACTGTCTTTATGTTCACCTTAAGCTGTTTCTTAAAAAAAATAAATCTAGTTCTTAAGATAAAAACTAACTTGTTTTGCAGATATTGACAAGCAGTGGTAACTGCTCATGTTCCACCACTTTGTTACAGAGAAGTTGACCAAAGTCATGGGGTTTGTATCTGTTTTTATACAGGTATTTGCAGTTTCTTGTTTTCAAACTGCAGTTCCAAGTTTTTAATATGAATCCTGTGTCCATATTGTGTCTGTTATTTGGAGGATTCTTTTTATTTTCTTTTTCTTTTTTTTTTTTTTGGTAAGTAAAATTTTGCGTCTGCTTTTTGCAGGACCCGACTAGGATTCTGAACACAAATAGCAGCAGCAGCAGCAGTAGTAACTGTTTTTCAAAGATACACAAGTTAACAAAGGATCACAAGGAAAAAACTTCTAGAGACTCAAAAGAACATAAAAGTGCCTTCAAAGAACTTTCCAGGGAACACAACAAATCTTCCAAAGAATCCTCTAAGAAACCCAAAGAAAACAAACCACTAAAAGATGAAAAAATAGTTCCTAAAATAGCATTCAAGGAACCCAAACCCATATCCAAGGAGCCAAAATCTGAAAACACTGCCATCCTTACCATAACAGGTGGGCAGCAGCAAGAAAAGAAGACTCCCACAAAAAGGCCCTCTGTTCTGGACTGTGATGAACCTTCTGCAAAAAAGAGAAAAAAAAGTGGTTCAGATTCGTTTTTTAAAAGTTTTTCTAGTGCCCCACCACTGATTCTTACTTGTTCAGCTGAAAAAAACCAGGCAAAGGATAGATCTCAACTCAAGGTGGGGAGAGTCAAAATTGAAAATGATGCATTGGAAAGGAAGACGCCTACCCTGCCACCATTTGATGATATTGTAGATCCCAATGATTCTGACATGGAGGAAAACATGTCCTCCAAATCTGAAGTAAGTGGTGTTTGGTTTTGCTTCATATGTGTTGAGTATTCCCAGTCTGTGGGATTGTGCACCATATTTGTATGTTCCCCTTCCTTTCTCTTGTCTACTGGCAGATTGTTCAAACTGAAGGATGCTGACTGCTGGCTGTTTGAACTTGTGCATGTTCTAGTTGTATTGTATTGCCTATTCAAGTCTAGTCAATTTATAAATCTGTCAACATTATGACAAATGAGCATATGGGAGTTGGCTATAAATAATATTGCTCTTTTGATCTTGTTCTTTTGAATTTCATGCTTCTTGTGAGAGAAAAGGAAGTTCATCTAAATGCTTGTATTTTACACCCTAAGTCTTTGTGTTCAGGTGTTAAAGAATTCAGTAAATTCAGGAAAGGGTTGCAGTAAATCAGAGTGTTATTTGTTGTTTTTCTGCTAGAAAGGGCAGTTCTGTGAATGATTGCAGTTTTGTGGAGGAGGAGGAGTTCCTAGAATCCCCACTCTGATGAGGAGAATCTATCCAAAGTAACAGGCTTACCTAACAAGAAAGACTATTTTTATGAAAGTTTGATTTCCTGAAAATATTTGTCTACTGTGCCTGCCTGAAAATATTTGCCTACCATGCCTGCTCATGTGTTTCATGCATCATTTGCTCTTGATAATTAGGATTTTAATCATTTTCCTAGCAGACTTCAGTTTTCAGAAGCATCTTCTGTAGAGAGATGAGTCGAGAAGGGAAGGCTTGTTTGGTGCCTTTATTTGTGCTTATGGCAAGAGGTAGTGTGAATAGTAGAGGGGAATTCTTCCCAGCCATGCCTGTTCAGTTCTCTCATTTTTCTGTTTTTTTTTGGTTTTTTGTTGTGTGCCTCTGTTACTGCTATCAAATTCATAGCCCTGCTTACCCTCTCTGGAAAAGACAATAAATACCCTGCTGTGGGGAGGTGTCAACATTAGGTTTATACTTTATAGAAACTTGCCACAAGGGAGAAGGTAATTTATTTCTGAAGTGACCTTTTAATGACTGTTCCCTTAGGGCCTGCAAACGCTGTAAAATTCAGAAGGTATGGAATAGGACAGGCTCTGCTTTACAGCGTGGTACTGGTGATACTGTGGTTGGGGTGGCATTCCTGTTTCTGGCTTAGAACTTATGAATTAGTCTTTAAACCTGAAAATATTCACATTTCTCAGTCTTGGTGTGAATTAACTTCTAATGTCTTTAAAATAAGCTGAATCTTCTATTTTAATTTATGTCAGTACCCTTAAGACTTGCCACCTACCCTCGGTATAGCCAGCTAATGAGCATGGATTTTGCTTTCACATTTCCTGTTCATTCAAATAGGTGCCATGTAGTGGCACATACACTTTTACTGGCAGTAGTGGTTCTCCATTTTTCTTCAGAGACAAAAGAATTAAGAGGAGCAACTGCAACGTAACTGAAATTTTACAAATGCAGGCACTACAGAGGTGTGTGCTGCATAGCAGCTTGCAGATAGCTGATATGTGAAGGATATGGATGGTGATTAAAACTGATCCTTTTTAATTGTTGTCATGTTTTTCTTCTTGTTGTCTTGCAGCCTCTTGCCCATTATGAATGGTATAATGGGTACACCCTTGTGTTTTTCATAGGATGACACAAATCCACTTGCAGTGCTGTTTGTCTTCTACCTGCAGTTGACCTGCAGGACCTAAGGAGTTCTTTAACTCTGTACTACAGCAAAAAAAGCAGATTCAGGGTTTTCTAGTTCTGCTCAAAGAGAAGCAGATCCTGCTGGTCTGGATTCTGGTATATTTTAATGTTGATATCCTGGATCATGGAACAGATAAGTCTTCAGTGGGAAGGCCAGTGTGGTCCACGTCTGTATTGGTGAAAAGGATGTCTGCCACTTTGGGACTATGGTCATTAATAAATCAGGCTTAGTATGGCTCTGGTCAGTGACTGGATACTATTTAGAAAGTCAATAGTACACTTTTTTTTAGAAAAGGTATGTAGAAAACCTGGAATAATTCCCTAAGGTGCCTGTGGTTTCACACCATTCTTTGTGCTATGGGAGAAAGAGCTGGGCAGCCTGGTTAATGAGTGTCTGCAGAATTTCAGAGAGTCATTTCTTCTACACTTCATTAGTTTTAACCAGGGAGCCTAATGAAAGGTGAACAAGCAGTGTTAATAGAGGTAAATCTATATGTTGGATAAAATAGTTTGAACTTGTTGTATGTGTTGGTGGGTTTCTAAGCATTTCTGGAAAAGGAGTAGATTTTACAGCTAGATCCATAAGGGGTATATCCTATAAATATAGACATATACAGAAAAAAAAACAAAGTGAAAAGTTGCAGTGTTACACAGTAGTGGAAGTGAAAATATGACAATGCTTTTGCTATACAGAAACAGTTATTTCAGGTCTGTTAATGCTTCATGATACTAACCAACATAGCTGTCTGAAGCTGGGAAGATACTTCTTCAGTGGCATGTTCTGGCATAATAATATGCTATAAAATTCAGTCTAATGTTATTTCTTACTCTGGTACAGTTACAGTAGTGGGTATTGTAGCATTGATGAACAAAGAATGAATCATTATTTAGGAGTATATTCAGTGGTAAGGTATCCAGGCTTTACTCTTAAAGTGGCTTTAAAAAAGCAAAACCACAAAACCAAACTCTGCAAATTTGGGTTAGATATAACAAATCAGATTACAAATCAATACCTAAAAGAAAATTGTTAGGATACCACAAAAATATTAACTTTGAGTCAAGTGCCGTTTTTCTAGTTTAAGTTACGTTTATGACATAGTGCAAACCTAATACTGTATGAATTATAATAAAATTATGAATAACTTTGCTAAGAATTTTGTGAGGACAATATTTTCTTCACTCCGTGGAGTAAGAGATGTTCTCATTCTTAAACACACGTCCTGAAACGGTGACTGTTTGCTTTCTTGGTATTAGCTCATATGCATAACTATGCATATCAAACATGATAAATTTGTAATAAAAAGTGTAATGTAAGAGAGCTGTCTGTAACTGCTCTGTAGCTAAGGTTGTATTATTTCACCTAGAATTATTTTAGTCTTTCTTTTACATTTTACAGAGAGTTCAGTTTGTCAGTAGGTGCACAAAACCAAGTAGTTTTGTGTGCATTTCTTTAAAAAAAAAACACCTCAGGGGGTTTGTAGATATCTGTATTTCAGACGTTTTGGAGGAGTCTTCCCTTGGCAAATGTTCATTGCTTCTGAATTTTGTCCATTAATTCTTTTTTTTAATATATAACATGTGAGAAGAAAGTTAAGAAGTGTGACATAAGCAAATAGTGCTGGCATTATGTCTGGAAATTTTTTCAACAAGCTGCACAGTAAAAGTAGATGAACTCGTACTGCTTTTATCAAAAATATTCACCAGAAGCTAGAACTTCCTGCAAAAGTAAGTTTCTTCCTATTGCTGGTCACACTGAAGACTGTATTTAGTGCTAGGGGTAGTCCATGATGAGTTCTCAACTGCAAAGGCTGGGTTCAGGTTTTTAAATTGAGGATGACATTCTGAGAAGTTCTCACCTCATGGTAAACAAAGCTGACAAGCATCATTAAACAGAGGTGCTGTTTCACTGGACAGGTGCTACAGGAAGGCAATGCTGCTGCTCCCCTGTTTTCTTAAGATACAGCCCCTGTTCAGTGAATCAAGATGGGGTGTATCCTTTCAATTAATGGGCTTTAATTTCAGACAGAAAAGCAGAGTGTGCTTAACCCTTCTCAATATTGGCATCATGCTCTACGTAGTTCTGGGCATTCGGACTTGAAATACTGGCCTTCGCCTTCATGAAGTGGAGGACGTAGAGGTTTAGCACCCTCCGAGAGAGGTCGATTCTTTTTCATGTGGTAGAGCGTGTCTGCCAGTGGCTAATCCATACTCTGAGCTGTCACTTGAAATTCAGATTTAAGAACACAGCCAGGTTAGCATACTGTTGCCTCAGGGGTGTTTCAGAAAGCCAGACAATGTCCTCTGATGCCCTGCAGTCATTCCCTGTTTTGAGCTCCAAAGACTTCTATAAAATTACAGTGAGAAATAAAGCGAAGCACATCCTTGCTTAGCGATAAACTTTCTGCCCTGGTTTAATAGCCTTTCTGTGCATGACTTAGACTAAGACCACTTATGGTTATTTCTTGTGGTCTATTTGGAATAGGCTGTAGTGTGGTGCACTGCTGTATTTATTTTAGCTCTGTTTTTCTGTTGACTTTGAGCTGTTGGCAAGTGAAACATGCATCTGCGTTTCTTTTCATGCTGCTTTTTTGAGTATCGCTTTTCAAATACATCCATGCTTTAAAGTGTGTTGGACTTCAGCATTAGTGATAGACTCGGTGTTCAAAACAGTGTGGGTCGTTTTAGAGTCATGTGAGCTAGCAAAGCTATTCAGGAGCATCACGTAGTATATTCAGTTAGAAATTGCACATAAAGACTGAGGAATTATTTTACTGGCTTTAGTATGAAGCATGTAAAGTAGGACATGGAGAGAAAGCATGTCAGATTTATGGTTTTATTGAGGCATAGGAATATTAGCACAGTCCACTTGAAAACTCCAAAGATTTTGCTTTTAAATTCAATGGCAGGATATTTTAGTTAAAGAAAACTCCATCTGTTCGCTTCCTATGTTGGGACAGTGCAGCAACATGATTAAAAAAAAACCAACTTGACATTCTTGATTTTGCTGCCTGTCTGATGATGAAACATGATGATGTTCTTAAAACATTTGTGTGAGCTTCAAACTGGTGTGTGAAATGGGGAAATACAGTTTTGGATCTGAGTAAGGCATTTTTCATGGCCAGGGCTGCCCCTTCTGAGCTGTGGAGCCATTGCAGAAGGGATGCTTTGGTACTTCTTGTTTGATTATTAACCAGTTTTGCTGGTCTGGGTAGGGAGGAAAAAATGGTGCATAGCTCTAAGTGAAGCTGCTGCAGCAGAAAGACACAAAGGACATCAGGAAGATCATACATACATGTTTAGGTGTTAACAAATGTTCCCAGTTGCAGTGA